AAGGATGTTACATTATGTACAGTGCAGAAAAAAAGAAATGCACATCAAAACTTATAATTGAATAATAAATGAAATAAATCATGCTACAATTTTTTTAATAAATCTAATATCTAATTGTTAATGAACACTTAGTTTTCACGTAATTTTGAGCAACAACACGGAATTTGCGATCGCTATTAGCGTGCATACCGCTTTAGATGGTAGACGTCGATAGAGAAAGGACTTATGCAAATTTTAAATGGCGCGTTACACGTGTCCCAGGACCGCGACGAGTTTGCATAAGCCGCCACCAGATCGCTCGGTTACGTGCCGACAGCGGCTCGGTCGCTGCCTCGAAGTGAACTAATTAAAATAGCGCCCTTATCGTCTTCGTAATTTATAGCCGCTTTTTAAGTACGACCCTTCGTTCTCTCTCTTTTTCGATCGTCGAAACGACTGGATCGGACGGGTTATAGGTACAAGGAAAATCAAAGAGGATCCGGTAGATAGAGCGAATCGACGAATCATGTACGCAAAATAGAACGTTAATTGCTACAAGGTCAATAATTAACAAAGTGATGAGTTAAAAAAAACCTTCGTGTAATTAAACTGTAGATAAGTAAATAAAAATAAGAGGATGCATTGAAATCTTAGACGGTTTTATGAACCACCTCATATTATATATTCGTATGTGACAACTTAATATCCTCCATTTATCAATGTTAATTTTCCGATTTATACACCGCCTACATCATCAAACCAGCATCGTTAAACTATCAATACTAAGTTTCTCTTCAAGCAAGAGCATCAGTAGATAATTGGAGTTATATGTAAGTCTTATGAAATTTCTAATGACACGAATAAATTTGATCTTTTCCGGTTGTGATGTAATGAACAAACGATGTTAAATTTATAACACCCGACCAGTTTGTTCCCTCGGCTTTATCACTCGCGTAGCTGCCAAAATCATTGGCAACATTGGAAGAAGATGTGCAGCAAGAAATCATATTCATAGTAGATTTATTTTGACAGACATCGTAAGTACACTGTGTTAATTAATTATTGTACCCGACGTCATCATTGCAAGTATGCAACCAAATACGCAAATCGCGTATTGCAATACCAATACTGTGATTTTGGTTGCATACTTGCAATGATGACGTCGGGTACGATAATTAATTAATACACTGTATTTGGGATATTATCTAATATGTATCACAACAGTAGATGCCACTTCTAGCTGTTTAGATTTATGCTCTTTGCTTCAATTTATGTCAAACTACCAAATCTTTATCTTGCTGAATGTCAAAACTGTCTAAGATAATTTAAAATAACCTTATATATAACCACATATTCAATATTGCATGTTAATAAAATATTAATTTGTGTTAATATCATAGCTTAATTCTCGTTATTTTATATATTTGCTTATCATACACCCTGTTCGTAGCAATGAACCCAACACTCAATCAAATATCGTGACTAAAACCGATAAAACCCCATATCAAACATAATAACCCATACACATCTACATTTGCGTATCTAGCTACCTAAATTTATAAATAAACTCCTAGTTTTCTTAAAAATATTGCGCTTCTACTTTCGCGAATAGGACTTGAAAAATCCTCGGGACATAAATTTTACCGTCGCGTCCGCCAAAATCATGAAACTTGACAGTCGTAAAACGAAAAACCGCCACCGACGGCTGGGAGCGTTTCTTCCTTTAGTAGGTATATCCCATGCAGCGGTTCCAACGGTCTCGAGATAGGAGGGATGCTATACAATATATTGCAGTTACATTGGGGTCGAAACGCCACCTACCCAAACTAAGTGAAAATGACAGGTACTTCGGCGGCTTCCACGTTCCACAGTCCCCCGTTATACCTCACTTGTACCAACCCTCGTATACTTATTTTAACCCACACCCTCTTCCGTTATTCGATCGTCGCATTTTGTGGAAGTAAAATGAAGACACAAAATTGGAATTTTAAAATTTTATTTCTAATTCTAACTACCATTTGGGTTACATATGTAGATTCTACTAAGTGATAAAAACATATTTGTGTTCATAACTCATCTTTTTGTTTCGTTTGATAATTCAGAATTTATAGTTTAAGCTTTAATATTTTTTCTAAGTTAGTGCCAAAAAATGTCTAAATGGTATAGTATGGAAAAACTTGTAATAAATCAGTTTTGATATCTCAAAGATGTTTTTGTTCGATTCAATTTTTATGCCAATGTTTTAAGTGTACATGCTGTGTTTTGATCTCACAGTCAGCCATTGTCCCAGTTAGTAGGAACATTACGGTCATACGCGAAAATATCATAAAATTGTTGACTCGGAAAAACTAAAAAAGTGACAAAATTGTGGCAAGAGAAAATTCTATAAGCATCTGTATAATGAAATGATGAGAAAAAAAGATCTGCTTGTACTTTCAACCATGCATTCTGGTATTTCGCAGAGATTAGCCCTTGTTCTCACTTTACACTTCCAAAATGCTTCAGCAACTTGGTTATTGTAAAATTAATATGTATTGCCATATAGGTTGGAGTTTTGGATATTGTTAATTAGATAGCATTAGTAATATTTGAGTAAGGTTGAAACTTTGGATCTATTAGGTTCAGTTAGAGATTAAATTAGGTTAGGATAACGTTAAAATTCTGGAAATTATTGGTCGCGCGTGTTTTGGATTTAGGAATAAGTTGAAATTTTGGAGAAAACTTAGTGGTTGATTGTTGGGGAAAATTTAGGATATTGAATACTACTTATGGGTTAGGACGGGGCTGACTTGGACAGGTTTGGATATAAGGAAATCAAGTTATTTAAGAAAACAAGTAAGAAATTAGGTCCCATTAAACTGTTTTAGTAAAAATAAAAGATAAATTACCAATTGTCAAAGTGACAAAGAGAGCACCTGATATAAAGTTTTTAACCAAGAAATGTGAATGAACTGTTCATCATTTGGAGAAATTTTTAGCGATTTGCATAGATGATCATTTCCAATAAGTTTATGATGATCAATACAACCGCAAGCAAGCAGTCTGTTAGAGAGATAAAAAATACATTATCAAGATAAATATGGTGAAGTTGGAAGAAGATGAAAATATAAAAAAGTAATTTAAACAAATTGAGCCAGGGACCATTTTACCAGCACAGGTGTTCAATGTTTTCGAAATAAAACTACTAAAAAAACTATCACAACGAACTTTATGGTATTTAAGACAAAACCACGCCTTTTCTTAGAATAAATAATGCGGTTTTTAAATTAAAAAAAGTCATGATTTATTTTCCACTTTTTATATCCTAGATCTCCTAATGCAAGTGCATTTAAAATGCGTCAATAAATTTTGCAGAAATTTTTATCACAGAAAATGTCAGAAGAAATTGGCTTAGAAATTTTAAAACGGTTGAAATTAGGAATTAATACTACCAATGTAGAGAAATTAGTAGTGTATTAGCATTCAAAAGAAAGATTTGCAGAAGAAAAGTAGATTTGAGTTGCAGTGGATTATTTATATACATTTTTTCCATCAGAAAATCTTAAAAAAAAATTTTTGTGGCAAATCACTAGTTCTTGGTCGCTAAAAACTTCTCCCTGGTGAGATACAATATGCCCAGGTAACCTATTACTTAAAAATTACTGGAAAGTATTAACCGAAGACTTCAAAGTGTTAAAAGTAAGTAATACGTAGCAAGCTCAAGAGGTGTTAATCAAACAATTTTTGGAAGCAGTCTTCACCCACAACATGGAGTACTTTTATTATTCTTGACTTAATTGTCTCTTCATGTTTGCAGAAAAAATAACATCAACCTTAAAATTAATAGTAAGACAAAAAGCAGAAAGAGATTTAGTGACATCGTTTAGTAAGTATTTGGATATTTTTATAACCATTTCATGTGTCAAAAAAACAAACCAACAGTAGAATTTTTTGAAAAGCATAATTAATAGTAATAAGCTGTATGGGAAGTTGCGGCAAATTTGTGTAACCATCAATCATGCTACAGCAAGTTCATGTCTTATGGTATCCGACTTAGGTTCCTAAATGAAGATTATCCCTAATATAGCTAAAATATTTTTGTTGTATTGACAACCATTTACTCACTAGAGGCTATAATCAAATGGCATCGGAATGGAATACACCTTTTGAGTTTGCTACTACACTATCACCCTGATCTATGTTGGTGAATTGTTTGAAAAGACTTCAAATATGTCCATAGACTGCGATCTGCCTCTATAATAATAATAACCAATCTCAAAGTTGTGTGCAGAAAAAAATAATATGACATCACAGCTGATATAACACTTTTTTTTTAATTACATACTGGATTCTAGTGATATAATAAAACAAATAAGTCATCATGAAATGATGTATCGATGCCAAAATATGACTCGTTACTGCAAAGTGTCTCTAGTTTGGGGTTTAGTGGTGATGTACAAATCCAGTAATAATTAATAGGAAACATGTAACATGTTTGACATAATCGGAAATGGAGGTCATACTGAACAATTTACAATTTATGACTGCTCCAGATCCTAATATTATTCTCATATTATCATAATTAGGTATATTAATGATGATATTTTAGAAGTATCTTAAGTTAATTTTATAGATGATAGTAAAATACTTCTGCCATCATAACTTATAATGAGCTTAATGAGCCTACATACAAAAATTTACAATAAATACAATAAACAGCAGTTTAGCTTAGAAAAGCAAAAAAAAACCAGAAAATTTAGACATTCGTGACTGGTGAAAAGTATTTTTGAATGTAATAAGTTAATTTAATGAATACTTAAAAAAATCCACAAGCATAACCATAACATACATAATTACAAAGTAAAATAATCTTATATCTCATTAAATTAATTTTCATGTGGATTAAAACCACAACATTCATAATTCTCTTACAGATTAAAAAACAACTGTCAAAATGTGTTTATACATAATTGTATACTATTCTTAATATATATGTAATAACTTTATTTATTTAAAAATAATGTCAAAATTAAAATTCCTACCTGCTAATCTGTCCTTAACAACTTGAGATGCAAAAGCGGCGGCAGCGGCGGATCTTTGCAGGACCGGATCAAGGCCGAGTGCCCACGGTGTGAAAACCGCCCCAGGACTGCTACCACCCAACGGTCTATGAGCCGGAACTCTCAAAACACCCTGTCCATAAAACCCGGAAGGAACAAAACCGCTCAACGCGGCCCCCCTTTGCAAAAGTCCCTGTTCATAAAGATCTCTGGCAGATCTTTCGTTATCTTCTGTCTTCTCCTCGAAATTCTTACCCAGTAGATTTGATATACTGAATGGCAACGTTGTTGTTGATGTCATTGATGAATGTGTCGTCGGTAAATTTTCCGGGCTTGAACAGTGACTACGGGCGCTGCGGGGACTCCTCGGTTCACTATCACTGTGCGATAACCGACTGTCAGTGTCCAGAACGTTTATTTCGCGTTCATCTTCACTTAATTCGTGATCCGACATTGTCGATGATGACAAAGTGTTAAGAGTATTTATTTTTATATAAAATCTAATCACCCATGGAAGTAATACGAAATGATGATGAGGGTTTCCTTCGAGATTGATTAAGGACCTGACGCGCGGTTATTTTTTTGATTGACGTCCTCGTCGGTCGCGTTTTAATCTGAGGTGGCGCGTAAAACGGTAGACTTGATTCACTTCAAAGTGCGCGCGAGCTTTTCTGATCGCGGTCGGTTGCGGACTGGCGCCGTCAAGTGGGTTGCCATGGCATCAGCAAACGCAGTTAACGAGCACCCAATCGTCGGCCAGATTTAGGGCCTACGCCCCGCCTCGACCGTTCCCCATTGGATTAACTGATTTCAACTAAATTGAATAGCTTTCTGTTAATTTTTTTCGGTACGCTTTTAACTTCCCCCACCACCATCACGGCGAATCCCGTTCTTTGAATACTTTTTCTATTGTTTTTTAGTGTACAAAAGCTCGCCCCGTTCCATTAGGTTTCATATAACGATCTTCAGTTAAGTTGTGTTTACACTATACGTTCATAAATAGATTAACTAATTTTTCTATGTATTTATTATTATGGTTATAGCTTTATATGATATTATCTAATCAGGCAATTACATTGGTGTTGTTTATCGTCAAAGATAACAATTATGAATAAAAATTATTATTTTTAATAGAAATTGACGTTTATTAAATTGCCATAAAACGCAATATACCTTAAAATACTTAATTGGATGAAATTTTATTATCTTCTTATTCTTTAGCAATTGAATATATATTCTTTTGGTTTGATTATAAGAGTATGGTTAGAAGAAGGAAGTAATATAGAGGTGGGGGGTGGTGTAGATTGATGGACAGCGGGTTGGGCTCGATAAGGCTCCGCCTTTCGTGGCCAATTGTTTCGTTTAACCACCGCCGACGGGGGCTTATTAATTATTGCGCCGATCCGTTCGCGGACGTTTAGCTGGCGAAATTACTGTGCGATCAAGGAAGCCCAGGCTGGGCGATATTAATATCGGATTACTGTCATTTCGTGTGTCGGTCGTTACGTGCTGAAACGACAATTTCTGTCTACCGGTTTATGCTAGAAATAACAACGATTCCAATAATATTCGAAGAAAGAAAAAAATTCATTGTAATTTTGCATAATTATCTTGCCGATAATTAATTATTGACGGACGTGTGTAACTCCAAGTATATACTTATTTGGAAATTGTAGTCAATTATTTTTTTTTTTCAGTTTCAAAACAATATATGTTTCCTCATTTCTTTAATTTTCTTTTTTTCTAAGAGAGGATCAAATTCAAATATTTCATGCGCAAAAGCCTACAAGTATCGAACAAATTTTGGATTTACTTCCCATACCGGCGCAAATATAAGGCATGTTGAGTTAACTCATTAGATGTTTTGTATCTCCATTTACCACTTTTCTAGCAAAACGATTATATAATTTTAGTGCTTTGCAGAAATGGATTTCTTTGTCCCCCACATATTTTTGTGCCAAAATCATCACCTCACCATATTTAGAACCTTCAGCAGCAGTGGATTATGTACCCGCTGGTACATAATCCAGTAAATATTTATCTGTTCTTTAACTATCAACATAATTCAAAATCATGTTTAAAATCCCTTTTGAACTTTGATGACTTTTTGCCATTTTCCCTTATAATGTTTAAAAACTCCAGAAAGAGTAAACTGCAGTTCTTTTCTTCATATTTCTTTCGCTAAGTCTAGAAGCAACCTCGTATGGCTTAAAACTATGACCAAGTTTTTCTGGGAAACATCATTTTAAAAAGTTTTGAAGGTAATTGTGGTAGCGGAATATTTTGGTGATAATCAAAAAAAAAATAATCTCAGTATTTTAGTTAATTTTTCGAGTTCTACCTTGTTCTTTATGTCAACAGAAAACGATTTATCCACTTTTGGTTGCGGCATATTCAGAAAATATGACTTCAGTGTTTTCAGTTGATTGGTCAAGTTCTGTCTTATTCTTTATGCCATCAAAAAATGTTTCAGTTTTAATTTGGTAAAGTTCTTGGTCTGGTTTTAGTGTCTCGGGTGTTGCTGTATTTATGCTTGAAAGTTTTTTGGTGTACTTTGCTTGATCACCAAATTTGATGAGTAACGTCAGCAAAAATTAATGACATACCTTTACCATCTGGATTTGCATTTAAAAACATTTAATGAATTGTAGCATATGAAATTGAAAAATTTAAAATCTATAACAAGGACCACCAGATCGACCTGACTAGACCACCAGTATACAGAACACAAAAGAAACCATTCTCCAACGACCCTCCCTGATATTGCAGATACCTACATACCCTCACCCCCACATCCCTTTTCCTCAACAGAGGAGGACTCCAGTTAATGATTATATAACTAGAGTTGCACTGATTGGGGTCCTTGACAATCTTAAGTTTGCTCCCCCTTTTGTTACCTCGATTTTTACTAGAACCCACCCCTCCCCTTACTCAACAGAAGAGAACTCCAGTTACAGATTATATAACTAGAGTTATATACATATAAGACAATCAAACCTATTCTCCACAATCCTAAATATGCTCTTCATTTTATTATCTTCGGTTCTATAATTCATCTCATTATGATCGTTTCAAATTCAAATTTACACTCTTCCTGTTCCCGCTTCTTGCGAATTGTCCTTATGAACATGAGCATCCTTCTCAAATTGACAACCTAACCTAAATAACGCAACGTGTAAATAAATTAACGTGTATATTTTTACATATGTGTATTTCTGATACTGTCTTATTACTTGTAGACCTCCGAGGATGATCAATTATTGATCGAAACATGTCAGGTTAAACTAAAAACAAAATAAAACCAGTAGTAAAAGAATTTTTGAAGTTTATTTAATGAATTGATTTTATAGTCAAATCTTCAGATAAATATAATATTTTGCAATCAGACCAACTCGTTTCACGGCAAGTCATAAAGTGATGCAGAACCTTTTGTACAATATTTTTTGAATACTTCTTACATGCTGTGGTCACTATCTGATCTATTGTCTCTAACTGGTTACAGTACATGGTATCCTTTACATGGTATTTTTAATATTCTTCTTACTGCCTTGATGTCCTATGCAATTTGAGGTTCCACCAAGTAACAGATCATCTTTTATCATGTCTGCTCATTTGAGCAACCGAATCCGCGGCAACCTTAATACATGAACAATCAATGAAAACAGGCTTTTGAAAACATAACACAAATCGACGCCAATCGGCTTTGCCAAGTCTTCTGGGAACAATGCATTTTTTCTCTGTCTAACGCATGGTTAAAATAATTGGACGTGATTTTTTAATGAAAAGTTTTCTCATATTGTTTTACTTGCTATTCTTCTTCTTTTTCTTCCTCAGCCTGTATTCATCCACTGCTTTTAATTCTTCCCCGCCACACCCTTCATATCATCGATCCACCTCTTTTGCGCTCTTCCTGCACTAGTTTCTCGTGGTCTCCAAAAGATTATTTTTGATGTAACTTTTACTCAACTCATAACATCTGTGAGTTGTGTTCTTCTGCGAATGTCGCTATTTTGAACTTTGTATCTCAGAGTGATTGTTCGTTCCATCGCTGTTTGCATTACACTAAGTTGTTCTGCACTTTTCTATGTCAAGGGCATAGTTTCAAGTTCGCCACTGGCAATATCAAGCTATCATAGACCTTTCGTTTTAGGCTTCTCAACATTTCTTTGTTTTTCAGTATAAAACTAACTTGATAGTTAAATCGATCGCATTATTTCGCCTGTTTGTTTTTCTTTTCCAATTTTTTTAGCACCTATTGCTTCCGTGGAAATAGACAAATTTACTGCTCTCAGCGTTTCAAGTCTGGTTATTATTTAGCTAGATTTACCTTTATTCAAAAAAATCAAATCGTTGTGCTTCCTGGCAGGACACGCCAGGAAGGATAGCAACCTCACCTCGAATTATAAGCATTAAAATTGCCTGGCAGAAATAATTTGACCTCCCAACTTAATTCGTCTTTCTGAATCCAGTCACAGTTGATACTGCTCTCAACAACTAAATAGTACTGCAATTCACAATTTTATAGAATTATCAACTAGATGCTGAATCTAATTCTTTTATGTATATTGTATGCAACTTCTGGATACTGGAACCAATGCAAATGGGTACTAGACCAAGCAATTGTAAACTGGAATTATCCATATTATGACATTGAAAGCAACCATAGGATTTAAGTTTTGCATTATGCAGATAAAGTTTATTGTTCCACTTCTAGATTTTGAAAGTAAATTTTTTACTGTCTCGCGAATAAGAAGCAATTTCGTAAGAAATCAACCCGAGTTTTACGGTCTAATTTCTTTTACTATGAAATGTTATGAATTTTTAAATGGTCATATAGCGTCGAACAGGGAAAAAAGAAATTTGTTTTACAAAATGTGTTTGTAGCAATCAAATTAGTTTTGTTGTAGATGGATTTAAAGGATTAAGCGAAGAGTTGATGCAAAACTTGGTAAATAATCCATAAATTTAGCATTGTCCAAAAACAGGGTAAACTGTAGCTCGACGAATCTGACCCTTTTTCGTTGTCGTCGCTACCACCCCGATGGCTTTTAATAATTACCTCGTCTCAGTATTTAGAGGAGAGTTTAGCTCTCACAACGAGGCGGGCCGGATTGAACAGTTTAAACTCGCTAAATTATTTACGCGCGACCCTTTTTAACTTCAATTAACGACGACGGCGCCCCCACGAGCACACAAACATTCGCGACCACCCCTTTACTTTATTTAAATTCACATTGTAAATTTAATACAAAAAACAATGTAGATAAATGTACACAAATGTGGATAACAATCTTATTTCGTATCAAAAAACGAAAGAAAACGAACAATAACAAAAGCCAACATTGAAAATTGGACGCGAGTGCCCTCCTTCGCAATTCCGCCCGGTATGAAAGATTTACGACACCGAGGTCTATAAACGTAAAACGTAACAACGTCGAGGCAGTTGGCATCGCATAAAACAAAAGCTAACCGCTATTCCTTACTCCAATTTTCCGGGCTGCTCATTTGTTTCCGCTTGCGCCATCTTTGAAAAATTGATGTGACGCCGACAGAGACAAAAGACTGATAATCCGACGCCGAGCGCCGCGGCGCGCTTCGAGAAACGGCCGCGGCGCCAATCCGACCGCGCCTACTGCGAACCTCTGAAATAAAACAAAGGTTCCAAGCAAACGCCCCCTA